TTAAAGTCTATGAGTCTATGAGTTTGCCGTGGAAGCTGTGCGGCTCAGTTCACGATGGCCAAAAAATGGCAGGGAATCGTTGCCTTCTGTAGCTTGCGTGCGAGCCCAGGACAGACAACATGGAAAAACTAGCTAGCGATGCAAGAGCGGGAGAGCAGAGTTTGCGGCGGAAGCTGTGCTGCTTGGTTCACGTTAGCCGAAAAAAGGTGGGAAATGGTTAGATAAAAGAGTAGATAGAAAGACGAGAGGACATGCGAGGTGGATTCATAGTACCAGGAGACAGGCGGTGCACCACCTGCTGGCAATATGGCGTCTGCCGTAGCTTTCACGGAGGGAGGAGCGAGTGACGACACACACCCAGAAACACCCGCGAGAATGTTTCTGCCCCATCATGCACTGGGAGGTTAACCCACAATTCCAATGGGCGGCAGGGACTGCAGGAACTGTGGGATAGCTTCCCACAGTGCACCGCTCCGACATTCGACGCTAGCCTCGGTACTGTGGATGCACTCTGCCGAATTCACGCGCTTTAATGGCACACAACACCGAATGTATAAAATCGCTTCTGAAAATTCGAATAGAATAAGTTCAAATTAATTTCATACTGTAGACCTACCCTCAGATCAGGCCTTGTTACACATCAAGCAAGCACCACAGGAGAGAGACTTTATAAATGCTTGGCATGTTGGAAAAGCTTCAGTAAGAGAGAATCCACGGAGGTATGAGAGATCCTAGAAATAGCCTGACTGCAGAAAAAAAATCAATTTGACTTCACACATCATTGACCCACACAGCAGAGAGGCCTTGAATGTGGGGGAAGCTTCACTAGGTGCTCCCGGAGTTTCAAGCATGCAGAAATCCGCACAGAGAAGAAACAGCTGAGATGTTCTCATTGTGGAAAATGCTCCAAGTGGAGTTAACACCATGTTGGACATCAGAGACTCCTCCACACAGCAGGGAAATTCTCTCAGGACCCTGACTAGGCCATAGTAACAAACCCATTTCCTCGTTCCCACACGTCAGGGGCTTTTGGCTCCCAAGGACAGGGCTGCCCTGAGGATTCAGGGGGTCTGGGGGCAAGCAATATCGGGGGCCCCTTCCATAAAAAAAAGTTTCAGTAATATAGAATGCTATATTCTCATGGGGGCCCTTGCGGGGCCTGGGGAAATTACCCCACTTGCCCCCCCCCCTTGGGCAGCCCTGCCCAAGGATCCACCTACCCGTCACTGGGGTGAGGATCCGGTAGCAGCCAAGCATCAGCTGGTCAGTGACCCTCTGGCTCTGCCTGGTCTAAGCAAACCCCAGGCAGAGGAGGAGAAACCCCGATCAGCCCTTTCCCCCTGCTGCAGCCCTGGCTGCTGAGCTGATGGGCCAGAGGAGGGGGAAGGGAGAGAGAGAAACTCCGCCAGCCGCTCCCTCTGCCTGGCTGAAGTTCCCCCCCTCTCCCTTCCCCTCCCAGCCAGGATCCCCCCTGCCATGGAGATGAGGGGAAGTACACTTGGACCAGGCCCCACCTTCACTCTAGACACTTGTCCCCCATCCCCCATCCTCCCCAGCCCCTGCTGTGGGGTGCGCTCAAGGCTGGGCAAAGGGCTGGGTGCAGGGGGTGAAGGCTCTGGCTAGGCGTGTGGGCTATGGAGGGGCTGGGGATGAGGGCTTTGGGTTGCAGACTCCGGTGGGGAAAGGACTCCGCCAGCCCTCTCTCACTGCAGCAGCTCAGGGCCAGGTGAGAGGCACCTCTCCCAAGCCGCGGACGCTCCAGTGGCGCCACACGC